GCCAATTCCTGTTCATCAGTGGGTTTAGGAAACCCGGAAGGATTGAGAAAACCTGCTCTGCTACGCCCTTCTAGAGCGTTAATAATTGTTTTCTCCCAAATATCATAATTATCACCTTTGAGAAGATGCTTCGTCAAGGAATTACCCGCACTTTCGGACGGGTGGATGTAGTACGGAGAGGTAGGGTCGTGGATGAGCCTGACCTTCTTTGTTCCTTCGCTTGCCATGGAAACGAAGATAGTACCGGCGTGAGACGGTGATTATGAGTCCGACGTGAGCCGGCGCTGCAGCGGTGGTGATCGACGTGAGCCGATCGAAGAGGGGCGACCGTGGTGTGGCGGCCCGGCGAAGCAACAGTGGCGGCACCGTGCGTGAGAAAAAAACTAGGGTTTGAGAAGTTCCCGGGAAATTGGCTCCGATACCATGTAGAAGTTTGGAAAAACTCAACTGCCTTTCATTCAATATTCACAACGTATATATACATGTGTCAAGTCCTACTCCAAGTATGAAAAGGACTACTAACAAGGAAACTAATTACCAAGGAAACTAATTACAAAGGAAACTAATTACATATATGGTAGTAAATAAATATATATGCTAACAATATATATCCTGATTGGGGAGGAAGGTTGTGTTTGGGAACATCGTTTGCGATAGTGTTTTAGATAAAATTTTAGTGACGGTAGATTAATTCTGAAAAAGCTAACGCTAATCTCTAACACTGAGGCAGAAGTACTGGGCACTAATCGCACTAATCCTAATGACACGAAACCAAGGGAGATGGTTTTTTGTGTCCTTTTGGGAGTATATAAAACGACAGAAGCAATCTAATTTGGCCGCGTTTTTTGGGGGATAACTTTGTTTAGGGGCATGCGGCAATGGATATATGGCGCAATATGCATGGCCATTCATTTATTAACATCTATCACATTATCATTATTATTGTTATTCATTAGAACCATCAGCTATCATATCATATTATCATCTCTTGGCCGGCCTTTTAATTAATATACAGAGAATATGTTTCTGTTAGTAATGTGTTTGCCCTTCAATTAGCACTAATTCTAAAGTTTACATTCTATACGTACTCCAAAAAAAAAAATAAAGATTGTACTCCAATATAAAGAGTCCATCCATCACACACGCAAATGTGAGATATATATGTACTTCAACGCGCTTGGATTCTGTTTCCGTGTCATCCCACTATTGCCTCGTTTAGTCCTTCTTTAGAGAATTTAATGAGATTACTTACACAAATTTAGAGTTCTTAATTCAAATACAGTTACTTCATTAAATAATTTTGTTGAAAAATGAAGCAATTGGTGGTACACACGTGCTCCACATGAGTTCCACATCGACTTTTTTTAGTCCAAGCAACTCCTTAAGCCTCTTGTACCAGAGATACTTGTAGTACATACTCCGTAAATATCTGCGCGTCGTTTGATGAAAAAGAGATGATATGAGTTACGAAATTTAAAATAAAACGCATGAGTTCTGAAATATGAACTACGGAGTATAAGAATATTAATAGGGACTTGGCCTGGGATATGGTATTGTTGTTAATGAGAGAAAGTGGTTGTCGGCGCCTGGTAGTTGAAAAGATATGAAACCTCCCAAATTGGTCGATCTTTTTCAAAACCTTAAGATATCTAAATATGTTTATTTGATAGGGTTGTGATATTGGAGACATCAAATCCAGCTTTTGTCTTGATTTTAACTAAACACACACAAATAGATTTACATATCGAGATATATTAGAACACATGTCTCATGTGCTTGCCAAACAAGTCTTGAGACTTTCCTTTCTCTTTAAGGGAATGAATGAATAGTGCTCCAACAATACCAATTCTATTACAAACTAAAGTTTTGTGATTGTACGTAAAACCTCGTTCTCTTCACATTTTATTTTCTAGTTTTTACTTATTCTTATTAAAACATGACCAGATTATATCTATAACAACTTTAAGTTATATTATAATTAAAGTAGTTCAGAAAAATCAGATGAGACCTTTAAAAATGGAGATACGAATCCATTAGATCAGACAGAGAGAACAAAGCCCCTTAACCCTAAGCATGAGGAAGGTTTTAATATCTAATACGTATGCTTCCTCGTGTAGGTGAAATTTATTTTTTTTACTCAAGGCTTGTACGTGAACAATCATTCATTTAATGTAGGTGGTTGGTTGTAAGGTTCGAGCTTGTAATATCTGTATCACAAAGACTCCGATAACATACCAAAAAAGTAATTCAACCATCAACCATAAATTTAAGTTTTTGATTGAATTACTCCATAGTATATTACGGAGTACTCCGTATTTATCATATCATGGAATAGCAAACGAAATGATCTTCTCATATATCTATTTAATGTTCACATTTTAATTTGTTTTGAATGGTATCTAAAACAAATAATGCAATTAAAAATTATGCAGAAGAAAGAGTAGTATTCTTTGAAATGCTCACACTTTAGATGTTTAGCTTTAACATAAAAAAAAAATCTAATGGTAGCAATTATCCAAATTTTTAACGTTAATTATAAAGATTACTCCCAAAACATACCTATGTTACAGAATTTTTCAAAATTAATCCACACACTTTGAGCCAATTGCCAACTAAGCCCATCCACGATAAGGTGGCCCAATTAAAGCTCTCCTGATGCAAAGCGATGAGCACTAGTTGTTGCCTATACAATACAGTGCACATAGTAATCATCAAAGCCCGTGAAAAAAAGATAACCCAATAAAACGATCTGTTGTAACATTCAGCCCAATTCCCCTGTGCAGCGTCTTCTTCATGTACCCAGGTTGGGTTGAGAGAAGGACATTGATGATTAATTGAAGCTTCTTCGGTTATACTGTAATTCTTGTTACAAATTCTTAAATTTTCCTTTTCCAGATGTATACTGATCAGAAGAAATGCCAGCCGCTGGCGGCGTCTTCTTCGTTTTACCGCAAGATCTATTCAGAAGTGAGTGTAATCATACTGATAATCAGTGTCTTGAGATTTTTTCGTGGTTGAATTTTACCTTTTCCTGTTTGCTGTCTTGTTGAATTCATCCATCATCCATTAAGTATCGAATGCTTTATGCATAATATGCATTCGATTTTGAATTTCTTCGATTCCTAGTAGAATATAAACTGTGTAATCGTCTTATTGTGCACAGGTAGAAGAAATAGGGTGGGGAAATCTCGTTAGGTTGGGGGAAGATTTGACATCCCTTAGTTTCCGTATAATGTAAGGATTTCATCCTTCTTATAAGCATCTTCCAGTTAGTGGATAGAGTGGAAATACGGATCATCGTGAAGCTCTTACTTTGATGTTGTAGAGACCGGAAGGGAAGAACGCATATGGTGGGAATAAAATTGGATAAAGCCTATCCAAAATCTCCCCCCTCAGTATCCGTGGTCGGTTTTCTTTCATTAATGTATTCTGATTTATGGCACTTCAATCGGCACAAATTTGGAACTAGTATCGTAATCTAATCTTTTAGGATGTTCCAAGCATCTTCAATTTGCAATGGTCTCCTCACTCAAAGCTAAGCGGTGTTCTTGATCAGTTTGGGCAGGCAAGTTGTGCTGCTTTTTTTGTTTTTGCAAACCTCGGTTTCTTTCCGTTATAACATAGATTATCACATGCTCTCAAAAATATTAGTTGCATACTTGCATGATCTTTTTTCTTAGGAAAGTTGGATCGCAATCCATAAAGTTGGAGTACTATTTTTGGCCAACAGAAGCGATAGTTGGCTATATTTTGGCCAATTTCACACTCCATGGTGTTTTTTATCCAATTGTTCATACTTCATAGTATTTTAATCCAATTTCTCTTTTTTATTAATATCGCTTTCAGCATCTGGACAAGCTTCAACCATTTTGGTCTACAATGGATGAAATTGACAGCTCTCTTCGGGTTTGTGCTCCTAAACAGACACGGTTTGCCTCATCGCAACGCCAAATAGATATAGGTCTGGGTGTTTAAGAACAAGGAGGATTTTGCATATTGAATTCAAGTGTAGGTATTCTACATCTTACTTAATTTTTTGCTCCTGTTATTATAGGCAATGGTTGCTATATCGTCTTGTGTATAGACCCAGATGACCCTAAAGCTCTGCCAGAGTAGGAGCTCTCTCAACCCTTTAATTACTGCATTGGTTAGTGCAAAATATAAGGAAATGAATTATTATTTATTTCTGATTACTGTACGCTTAGGTGTCGTTTTATTGGTCCACATTCGGAGGTGAATGTACTCGTTACAACATGGAGGAGAAATTGCTGGAGATGGTTAAGTAGCTTCTTTTAAAATGTCTGTTTTTTTAATCTTTTTTTTTTGTCCGAGTTTGTCCTAAATAAAGTCACCGGTTTAAAAAAGTATATTTATTTACCCAAAAGCCTAAAAAGAGTTGTTTTATAAAAACAAAAACAATTAATCATGACACCCAAGTTCTCTATGTTAAAATTACTTGAGAAATAAAGTTTAGAATTATGGAGTATCAGATTCCATGAACTTTAAGAGGTTTACCATGACACTCTGTTTTGTTTAGCTCTTTTTTTCTGGGGGGGGGGGAGGGTGAAGAAGTGGTTTTTTAGGTATTTGAATTAGAAACTGTGATTTGAAGTGTTGAATAGGATCCGAGATAAACCATTTTGTGGAAAATGCCAAGAGTTCATTGAAAATTCAATTTACCTGAACATCCCAATGTTTATTGAATTGCTTAGTTCTTGGGGGGGGGATTGAAGAAGGGTTTAAATTCTTTTTATTAGATATCTGAATCTTGAATTGGAAACTGAGGTTTGAACTTTTGAATAGGATTCGAGATAAATCATTTGTGGAAAATGTGAAGAGTTTATTGAAAATTCACTTACCTGAACATCCCAATGAACCAAAGAGTGACCAGCTGTGTGAAGAATGTGGGATTTGCTATGCACAAAATCTCCCAATTGGTAATTCTTGCATCTCATGTATTTATTACCCTAACTTGGCATCATATCTGGCATTGACTTAGTGTTGTCCTTGTATGTGTAGATACTGAGCTTGGAGTCGATAGTGGGTGTGGAACCGATATTACATGTAAGAATAACAACTGCCGGAAGGCCTTCCACCGTATCTGCCTTTTGGATTGGCTTCGTTCCATCACAACAACAAGACAGTATGTTAACTTCTTCACGTGTTTGTTTATTTTTGTATTTTTGTTTGTTTCTTTTGACCAACATCGACACCATTATCATTTGCATATGTTTGTTTTGACCAGCATCGACACCATTATCATTTGCATATGTTTGTTTTGCAGGTCATTTGATGTTCTGTATGGGAATTGTCCCTACTGCTCAGATCCCGTTTCAGTCAAAACATTGTAACTTTTTGTTGTCACACCACCAAATTTGCATTCCTCATTGGTAATTTGATTCCCAACATGTGAAGTTGATGTTTAAATTAGGGTTAAACCTTGATGAACTTGTTAACCCAGAAGGCCAAAACCTTTATGAATCTAAAGCTTTGCTGATTGCTGAAGTGAATGTTGGTCAAAGATTCCTTTATCCAGCATCAAATGCCAACATGATTGGGGAGTTCTCTATGTATCAAGTATATACTCTTGTACGGAGTATGTATTAATCAAATTGTGAAGAAACCAATTCAATCAAAAGATCAATCTTATGGGTACAGGTACAAAAATGTTTTATATTCTAACATGTCTTCACGTGCTTGTGAGAATTTTTGTTTAGATTTGCATGGGATGCTATTTTTTTTAACTAGACAGTTGGTGTCAGATAATTTTGAATAAATTAAGAAATGTACATGCCTTATCTCTACTATGTATTACAAATACACCAAAAGTCATGACTACTACTTAGGAATATAAAACCTATAGTGGTATGTTCGTTGGACCAATCTTGAAGTTTTGTTCACATTTGGATTTGATCTTAGCTAGACCTGAAAATTCAAACCCAAAGTAGAATAGTTTGAGAACCTATAATCATATTGATTTACCGTGGCCATTAATTTTCTTTACTGGTGTGATATAATTCATTGCTTGGCATGGGTAACTTGTTAATCTTTTTAACCAGTCTTCAATATCAACAATTCATCCTTTTGATTTCTACATTTCAAACAGACCCACCATCAAAAATAAATTAACGCCTAGAAGATAGACAACAGAAAGCTCACATTTAAACACGCAATATACATATAACACATAAAAAATAAACTGTGATTGTGTAATAGCCTATATTATATGCATTTTTTAAAATACCCATGGACATTAGAAAATACTCATCTTGAATGTTAAATATGTTCAATTCAACCCATAAATATAAGACCTTTAGGAGATGTCTAAAAAAAACTTAGTGAGGGATTGGTCGAGTAACATACTAATGTGGGATTGAATTGAAGGTATGCATGGTCACAACATGTATTGGAGTCTAGGTTTGTGCGGGCATGAGCAATAGAGTGCGTTGTGCAGAGTTCATGATGTGACATGTTGCAAACCAGATTAAGACCAGAAGAGATGATTTGTAAGGTGGAGTCTTGTGCCGGAAGTTGGGCGGTGTGTCTCGTTTGGTGTTAATGACAGTATAAAATGATTTAGCAAATAAAAAAGTGTGTCGAACTTCTTCCCGACAAGAGGAGGTTGGACCGCGTGTCCTGCGAGGTTGTAGTAGTGGTGCAAGACAGTGGGCAAATCAAACAGATTTCACTAGGGGCAGTAATGAGTTGTGTAACCATTAGTTTGAAGGGAGAGGTTTATTGGTACAAATTTTACTTTCACACCAAAGAAAAAAATTAAAAGGAAACCTAAATATATAGGTTTAACTCAAGTCATTGATCTGAGACCTTTTGGAAGGTACCCAAAATTAAATTCGTGAAGATTTGGCTCAAATGAGATAATATCACACTAATATAAGTTAGGGTGAAGCTACGAGCGGTCCCAACGAAACTTGTAACATTTCAAATCCTTCAAAACTTCATAAATTTCACAAATGTATATATACTTCCTTCACCCCTAAAAGAACTCAACATTTGTGTTTTTTTTCCACAGAGCTTATTGAAAATGAAATTATACGACAATTTTTTACAATAGAAACAAAAATTACGATAGACTAATTCCTTTCTCTAACGAAAACGAGATCTTTTTTCTCATACAACTTAAAATCGAAAACAGAAAACGTTTTTAGGGACGTAGGGAGTCGAATGCAACTAACCATCTTTGTTATAGTGCCATAAACAATTTGGAAGTTTTTTGATTTGGGGTAGACTCTAGAGTACACATAGCCACACCCTCACAAGTATATAACAAGTAGTTGGAGAAGCTATGTATGGGCCACATATACAGACTGTATGTGATTTAAGGCATGACTATAATAATAATGGGGAGGATGAAGGACGTTTGGGTTCAAAGAAGGCCAGCCGTTTCCTTCTTTTTGCACATTGTTGGACCATTTTGCCATCTTAAGCCACCCCCCAAACACCTAATCCATTTAATTTTATTACCTTTTTCTACAAGAGGAACTGAACTCAATGTGGCTGCCAAATTGTGGGGCGCAGAGCTTTGGGGGGCTCACAAGATGTATGAATCTCAATGTGCATCAAACCATTAATTTCCTCACTTCAACTGATTCTTCCCTTGAGTAATAAAGTTGTGTAATTCTCATAATCCCTTTTTCAACGGGAAATAAAATGTAAGAAAACACGAAAAGAAAAGAAAATGAATTGTTTTTAAGAGATAAAAAGTTACCCTCTATTTCACAAATCAAACTTTCAGTGTGTAATTTTTGTTAAAAAATGATATGGACTTGCTCTATTCCAAGAAATATCAAATCTAGCTCTGCTAATAACAAGTTGATGGTGATTAGAAACTCAACCCATGATTAATGGAAACTCATTAATGAAACCGTACACCAAAACCTTTTGCCCAAAGAAATACTTCCCTCTTCCAAAATTAACCTCACAATGGTTTATGCCACATAATTTTAAAAGGCACTTTACTTTTATTGACAAGGTAGCTAGGGTAAAAGGTAGAATTATTGAAAAAATGCATGCTTTTTTAAAATTACTATAAAAGCTTTTTTTTTAAACAACAGAGAGTGATGAATATATTCATTCACATACAGAGTAAATAATAGGAGTACGAAACAAAGCGATTTACAGCGAGTGGTGAAAGAAACGGGGATTACACTAGACGCATATTGCAGGTGACACAAATTCATTAAAGTTGATATTGTTAGCATTTCACTATAATGATGGTTTAAGAGACAATGACTATTTATTCGTGATTGTCTTTCAACTTTAGTGTCATCACTATGGTTAAAGTTATCATTTTCTTATAAAAAAGAAAGTACTCCGTAATATAGGAGAGAACATACGATTGTAGAAACACTAACAAGCCCAAAACTCAGAGAGTGTGACTGTTATTTAGTAGTGATGTAAACCTTGTTAGTAAATCTTGTTTAGAATGTAAAGCAATTCCTCTTACCTAACTTACTTGGCGATGCGTCTCAGAGGATAACGTATAGAGTCCAGAATTAGTGTGATTTATCACGATATTTGGATTAAAAAAATAAAAATAAAAAAGAGAGTGAAATGGAGGAAAAGGTTAGCTCTACGTGTTGACCTAAGCAAAGGCAAGGTCATTTCCCAATCGCTGAAGAAATGGGAATTCCATTCCCAAAGAGTGAAACTCAATCTGACACGGTGGGGTAATCTGACATTTTTTTGAAACGGTAGATGATCTACCGTTTCGTCTTTTAAATTTTTCAAACGGTAGACCATCTACCGTTTGGTCATTATTTTTTTTTTAAATTAAAAAAAATAAATATCTATTTCTTTGTTGTTTTAAAAAAATGTAAATGGATTTTTTCAATAAAAATATTTCATAGATTTAAATCCACGTATATATGTATATTTTGATTTATACATAAAATATTTCATAGATTTAAATAATTTTATTATGTTAGGTTAATTGTATGGTATATTTTTATATTGTTATATAGAATTTATTGAAAAGATTTTTTTAAAAAAAATATTTTAAAGAACATTGAAATGAATTTTTAAAAGAACATCTTAAGAATTATTAAAGTACAGAAGCATTCAATTTAAAACAGAAATTAAAATGAACTACTAATTATTAATAATCAGACATATTTAAAGTACATAAATTTAAAAATCAAACTGCTTAAGTAAGAAAACATAAATGTAACACATATTTAAAAAACACACATAGAAATTCCTAAATGAACTAAGTAGCACCACGACGCCTTCGCGGTCGCATATCCATGTTATTAGTGAAACGAGTAGTTACTGGACGACCGACCTGAGACCTTTGCGCTGTCTTTGGTCGTTCTAACTCGTAATCAAGATTAGGCCATTCCATTTCATTTGGGAGCGGCATAACATTTCCAGAGTACGCATTCAGTTAGCTCTGAATCGAGAATACTGATGGCATGAAATCATCAACCGTGATATTGCAATAACGGCACACAGCATAGACGTGGACACATGGCATGTGCAATGTGGCCCATTTCCCACAACTACACATTTTTTGGCCTAATTGTACCATTATTTCATCTACTCTACCAGTAGCTCCAACATTGCCCTGAACAATGACCCGATAAATCCCTAGTTGCGGATGATGAGGGATAACATGACAATGCAAACGATTGTCTTCCATGCGTCTGACCTCGTTCCAGACATACTTAGGGAACTTAAACCCCGCTTGTTGCCATGTAAATCCGTCTGTACGCTTGTCTGCAAATAATTTGACTAATCTTTCATAGGTAGTCTTCACGATAGCGTATACCGGAAGAGACCGGCATCCCTTAAGCACGTGATTGAAGCTTTCAGAAAGATTTGTAGTCAAGATTCCATATCGAGCCCCACCATCACAACATAGTGCCCACTTCTCTAATGGTAAAGTCTTCAACCAGTCATATGCCTCCGCCCGTTGTGTGTGAATCTGTTGCATTGTTCGATTAAATTCACATACATCTGGGGTACTCGCTGCATGATACATCAAGCCCTTTAGCTTCTTGCTGTTGAATTTCTTCTGGAAATTACTTCTAAGGTGCCGCAAACAGTATCTTCGGGTAACACATTGTTCTTTCAATTGGGGGATTGTATTGAATGCAACATCAATCCCCCCATGCCTGTCAGAAATGATACACACTGACATGTTAACAGGTACTACGTGACGCATTAAATGCATCATGAACCAACTCCAACTATCACCATCTTCTTTGTCAACAAGCGAATAAGCCAACGGGAAAATCTCGTGATTTGCCGTCATTAATACTGCAAGTAACAAGACTCCCTTATATTTCCCGTATAAGTGCGTGCCATCGACAGATACAACAGGAAAACAAAATTTGAACCCGTCAATAGATGCCTTGAAAGACCAAAAAACGTACATGAATTCAAACGTTTTAGGTGAAGCTGTAGGCCACATTTGTATCTCCGCCACTAATCCGGGATTACTTTGCATCAACGCCGCTAGTAAAGGCAATATTTTGTTATATGAATCCTCCCATGATCCATACAACCGTTGAATTGCTGTTGACTTAGCCAACCAACATTTCTTGTATGTTACCGATACTTGAAATAAGTCATACACATCTTTAATGATATACCTCACCTTATAATCAGCATCAGCGGCAATTTTGGAGAATATAATCCCAGAAATGAGATCGCTTGTAATAAGCTTATCATCCTTTTCTTTTGAGTAGTCAGGTCGGCATAAATGTTAACTTCTGTATTGTTTGACCGTCCAAACAGAAGCCACCTCAGCAGCCTGAATGAGCCATGGGCACTGGTCCGGATACGAGCACTTTGCAAGCCAATAACTCCGACGCTTTGAAGAAGTGCGATAGTGTCTATGCTCTGCAATATTGCGAAGTGACACAGCAAATTGAAAACTTTTAAAATCACCATATGTATAGCCGATTTGAATCTCAGGGATACGAAACGTCGGTTGTAAAGAAACTTGTTCAACCGGCCTATGAATAGGAAAATCCTGATAGCGCGGTTCGTCATCAAGGCAATTCTGAATGTTTGTTGGCTCCTCTGTGTATACGTCTGGTGTGTACATAGAGACCCATCCAGATACCTCAGACTCATCTGAAGAACTCTCATCATCGGAATTAAAAACAAACATAGGATCGTCGGGGTCGCTCTCATCCTCCACTTCGTGTGCCGTGTTAGACGGCCCTGCCTCACCCCACCAAACAGGATTTGATGCCCATTGTTGTTGTTCTTCATGATGTTGGTGGTGGTAATGATGGTGGTGTTGTTGTTGTTCTTCTTCCTCTATTTCTTCTTCTCCGTGAACCTGGTTGTCAACATATAATGCCTCTAGGTACACTTCAAGTTCATCGTATTGCTTGGTTGCCTTTTGAACGAAACACCTCCATGTTCGTTCGTCGGAAATTGGGAAAGGACGTGATGCAGCATACACTCCATCCCTGTATTTGGGATATTTCCCCCAAATTTTCTTGATTGAATTGAGATTATCATCGGCAATGGCATCAAGGAGTTCATTGAAGAACTCATCGAATGAGACATCAAGATCAAGCACAAAAGCTCTGTTTGAATGCAATGAGTAATCTACTTCATTGTTTTCGATTTTTAGCTCACCATTCCAGTAGGCTAGAATGATAAAATTGCCATCAGATGCCATTTTTTGAGAATGTAAAGAAAAGTAGTGAGTAGATATTTGAAAGTATAATTTTTAAATGGTAAGAGTGTGAGAGTAAGTGTTAAATATATAGTAGATAATATGAGTTAGGTGCAGGATTTTTATTATGTTAGGTTGATTGTGTGGTGTAGAATTTTTTAGGTGTTAGTTAGATTGAATGGTATAAGATCGAGTTAGGTGAATTCTATGGTGCAGATCTATTTTAATTTCGAAAAGTAATTCGAACGGTAGATGAAGTACCGTTTCATATTAAATAATTTTTTTAAAATGACGAAACGGTAGATCATCTACCGTTTCGTATTAAATAATTTTTTTAAAATGACGAAACGGTAGATTGTCTACCGTTTGAATAATTTTTCTCTCTTACAGCACTGATCCGGAACACTTTTTTGGTAGCTGCACTGTCCGGGAATTAAATCAGCAAAGGCATGGGGTAATAAGAATATAGAAGTGATGACTTGTTGGTCGAAACCAACTCTTCAGTCCTGCAAGAAATCTCACATTCTGGGAAACTTATATATCCCTCTCTTTCCCATCCCATCCCTCCGGCCACATTCTGATCTGATCTGTTCGTTAGCCATCCATCCCACTGTAAATTCATTAACAACTAACCCTTTCATTCATTCACTTTCTTTTCATTTCAATTCAATTCCCTCTGCTTCCAATTTTCCCCTGTTGGGTTTTCTTCAAGCTAAGGAATGAATCTCTGAATTATTGAAAATAAAGCCTGCTGGGCTCTTCCTCCCACGCCTTATTTATTTACCTTATAAAACAACCACTCCAAGAAAACACATATGGTTCACACTCTGTTCTGAAACTCTGATCTCCTTCTACCTATCTCTCTCTCTCTCTCTCTCTCTCTCTCTCTCTGTTTCTTTTTTAAAAACCAAATATTGTAACCAAGAAAATGAGGAGACGAGTTGGGATGATCGTAGTCGCCTTCGTCGTCGTTTTCTTGATTTGCAGCGGCGGCGGCGGCAGCAGGGTTGGAGGAATGAGAGGGACGGCGTTGATGGGGTCGAAGCCGCCGAGGTGCGAGCGGAGATGCGGCGGTTCTTGCCAGCAGTGCGAGGCCATTCAGGTTCCGACCACCGGCGCTAAGAAGAACGGAATAATCAGGCATTCTTCTTCCTTTTCTTCTTCGCCGGGGTGGTGGTGGAGAAGTGCCCGCCGGACCACCAGCGGGCGGGGAGATGACGACAATTACAGTTCAAACTACAAGCCCATGAGCTGGAAATGCAAATGCGGTAATCTCATCTTCGACCCATGACCTCACACACTTACTCTACTTTTATTTATTTATTCCTCTTTTTTTTAATTATTATTTTTGCTCTGATTCACTCCATCATTAGGATTAGTATTGTTGTAATGACATTATTATTATTACTAATGTAATTATGTAATTTCTGTGTGAATTGTTGCATGAGCATTATCCTTTAATTTTAATAAATACTTCCTCCGTCCCTAAATATTCACAACATTTGCTTTTTCAGCAGTCGCGGGAATTTTTGTTTATTTCGACGTTTTCATTGGTTATTTGATAAAATAAAATATTCTTGACACTTCTTATTTCGAAGAACTTTTCATGTGGTTTTTTATATGTAATTTTTATTTTTTATTTTTTTACCAATATGTAAATAAAATGAATTGAAAAAACTTGATATTTTGTCTCGGTAATAGAAATGTGACAAATAATTTGGGACGGAGGAAGTATATGTATGCTAGCATATACGCCCTCCGTCCACCTAAGTTCTTCTCGTTACGCATTACGAAGCTTGACCGACTTTATTTTTAATTCAATTTAATTGATTATAGGAGTAAAAGTTTAAAATAAAATTTATATAGTAATAAACTACATGAAAAGTTCTACAAAACTAGAGGTGACAAGACTTTATTATTTTACGAAATGACTAGTAAAAATGAACAAATAAAATGGGTAAACTTTGATCCTGTGAATAGTGTCTGGAAGATCTATGGTGGACAGAGAGAGTATATAATAGGTATTCAAAAAAATTCTTCAGCCACAACTCTGATCCATAGTTAAGATTTTTGGTTGAATTAGTTCTTTGAAATGATATTAGAAATTTATTGACCGAGAGATCACGAGTTAGAAATGCAGCGCCACCCAGTTTAAAAATTAATGTTCACGTATCAGGCTCGAGTAAAAAAAATAAATCCCATCTACACGTTCGAGGCGTACTAGAATGTAAAAGCTTTTCTTGAGTCAGAATTACAAATTTAAATTTTTAATTGAGTTGGTTGTTTCACATGTAAATCATTATGGAATTCAAGTATAGGCCAAATGAATCCAGAATCCCTGCTGCACACTGCTAATAACTAACAAACAAATCTGGTAGTACTGCCCAGATACAACAACTATGAGTACAAGCCAGCCAGTAAACATTTAAGAAGCATATATACATTTAGGGGCTGTTTGACAACTTCTGAATGGGTAAGTGCTGAATCAGTAAGAGGTCTGAATCATTAAGTGCTGAACCAGTAAGAGGTCTGAACCATTAAGAGCTAGTCTATTGCTTAACTATTCAGAGGCAAATGTCTGATCAATTCAGATAAGAGATATTTACCATTCAGACTCTGTATAATACTTAACCATTTAGAGGCAAATCTCTTAACCATTCAGACTTCTGAACCATTAAGAGGCTAAAACAAACAATCTGAACCATTAAGTGCTGAACCATTCAGACATCTGAACTATTAAGAGGCTGAAACAAACAGCCCCTTAATCTTTAAAAACGAAAAGGAGAGAAAGAGAGAGGGGAAAAAACAAAATTAAAAAAAAAAGTGGTACAGGTACAATAATTAGGTGGGGGGTGGGGGATGGATCAGGAGGGAAGAGATTCAGGCTGCAGGCAGCATCGTTAAGTCTCATCGTTATAAGTACTGTTGCTTTCACTGTACTTTTTCTTACACTATTAGTAATAGTAACAGTATATGGTACAAAACACTATTTCTTGTACTTATATACTCACTCCGTTCCCAATTTGATTACAAATGGCGGGTTACGGAGCTAAATTTCTTATTTTTTGAAACTATTTTATTTAAAAATTGATATATTAATAAAAAACTATGTCAAAAGTTCTACAAAACAAGAGGTGACAAGAATATTTTATTTTATCAAAAGTTATCGAGAGAAGAGAAAAAAAAAAATTGTAATCCATTTAAGGACGAAGAGAGTATATCTTTATAATGTTCTGATCAAGATGAAGATGATGGAGAAAAGATATGGTGGGATACACTATTTTTTGTACTCGTTTTCTTTCCGTTTTTAAACGATTGTCACAGTTCGATTTTTTAGATTAAATTTGGCCACCTTTTGATAATAAATTAGATATAGTTAAAAGTGATTAAAATAAACTTAATTTTACTAAATTTATATTATAAGTAAAGTAATTTTTTCATAATCACGACCAAAGGTGCCATAGTATGATCATTAAATGTCAAACTGTGACAATCTTTTAAAGATAAAGGAAGTATTTGTATATCTTTATAAGAGGAATTTACTTAAATAGCACTAAAACATAATGACTTTCCCTAAATAGCACCACATGTCTTTTTCTTCCCAATGTAGCACTTTTAGTCATTATGCATTAGTCATTATTCAAGTAAATATTCGCCATTACAGGACATTGTGGATATTATTTAGTACTATTTAGGGAATAAAACAATTTAAATGTTATTTAGGAAAATGAAATAAAAGGGTGTTCGATCGTATCATATTATGATGTACTACCTCCGTCCCACTATATTCGTCCACTTTTGATTTTTGGAACTGTTCATCTAAGCACTTTGACTCATCAAATTCTCTCATTGTGTAAGCCTAAATATAGTCATGTGTGATCTTGTTTGATTTGTCTTAACATATAGATTTTTAATATATAATTTTTATAATTTTTTAATATACAAATTACAAGATAAAATGGATTAAAGAAGTGCATTGGATGATGTGCAAAAATGAAAGTGGACAAACACTCAGGGACGGAGGAAGTATGTTTCATTTTTTTAAAGTGACTTTTGTATTTTCTGCTGATGAGAAAAAATGCAGGCTGACATGGGTATTGTTCATTGTCTTTTTAGTTTAACCGGCGTGCAAAATGATTCTACTCCGATCCTCCTCCTACATGGACCATATGAATAGCAATAGAATCCCCTCTTTTTTCACCCGAGATCGATAATAACTGTACTCTACCAGTGTTATGATGATTTCACCCGAGATGAACGAACACTTTCAAGACAAACTGATTATGAAGATCATTTGCGGGTGTGCAGAGGGTGATTGAATTGGCAAAGACATGAAGTGCAAAAGGTAGGGATGAACACGGTATGGTTCCACCACCCATGACACCGGTCTCGAGGATCACTTTTTGATTTTTATGAATTAGAATATCTAAAAATTTACCACTAGTTGTTATTTAAAAATTGAAAAAATGAATAGTACAAAATAACTACATTTAATATCCTGACGGTTCAAAAAAAATGACGAGGTAAATTACCGTAAAGAAACCCTTGAATGAGATTGTATATCGCTCACCTAAAAAAATTAATTACAATTTAAAAAAGAAAGTTACTCACTTATTCCTCAGAACTACAACTTTAAAAAATTAATTACGATTTATAAAAACAAAGTTATTCACTTATTCCTCGGGAGTAGATTACAAAAGATTTATATTAAAAATTTGAGCAATGTTAGGAGTACACCTTTGGTGTACCCCAAATGTACACTATCCCCTTCCCCAAATAAATAATTTTTTTTATATATAACCTTGAATTATATTTTAAATCATTAAGATATTTTATATATAATGAATTTATTTAAAATAATTTTTCTAAACAAAGATCTTTATACTTAATGAGTGATTAGTGAAATATAATAATTTAATTGTAATGAAAATGAATAAAAAGTTGATTTTGACTTTGGAGTCAAATTTTGACTCAAAAGTCAAAATTAACTTGTGAGGTGCAATTGAAGAGGGTGAAGGGGGTGTGTTGGGTCGGGGCGGGTGGGGGGTTTACCGGGGGGGTTAAGGGGGATAGTAACCGTCAATTTTACGAACGGGACACCGGAGCACTCCCGGGTAGGGGTGTAAACGAACCGAATCGAAACGAATACTGATATATTTGAATTTGTATTTGTTTAATTTTTTCGAATCCGAATCCGAATCCGAATATGAGACGAATTCAAAATAAGATTTGAATAAGTATTTGATTAATATTCGAATAATTATCGAATCATAAACGAATATTTGAATAATCATACTATATAATTTATATGATGGACCAACATCAATTTGTAATTTAACTTACGATACTCTTTATACTATACTATATTTCGTATATAAAAACATTAATACATCTGCATCTTACACAAATTATATTTTATAAAATATAACTATTAAAAATCATATGCTTTAGATTTTCGTGTTGCGTTAATTTATTGAATTCTTAGTATTTTAAATATAATACACTTTATATTATATTACTTTGCTTGACTTTTGATATTGAAAACATGGTCTGTGTATATATACATATATTCGAATATTCGAATACCATCCGAATCGAATATATCCCTATTTGTATTTGTATTTGATTAATATTCGAATCAAAAATAATATTTGAATTTGAATTTGTATTTGAATAACGCGAATTCAAATCATCATATTCGAATACAAATCGCGAATCGAATTTAAAATATTTGATTTGTTTACATCCCTACTCCCAGGTCATCCCATGACATTAAGTTCCAATGTCATGGGAACCCCATCCCTTTAAAATTAAAGTGAAACATGTTGACTAAACTCATACCCCTTCAATTACAAAGACATGTAAGAAAATCTCCTCTTATGGAATATGATGTAAAATAATGGCATTAGATTTGTGTGAAGATAATTAAATGATTCCAAATTAAATTTTAAAAAAATCCCCGATGATTTAAAGTTAATGAAGAAAACGAAATATTCCAATTTCATCAAAATTGTTGAATAATCTGCAAATTGTTTGCAATTATGGAGTAGATCTAAAAAAAGTGTGAGCCTCATCCCCGAGGAACCCCGTCATGCTTGGCAGAATGGCCACTGAAAAAAAAGTAAATTGATCTCTAATCACAGTTTATTAGTAAAAATGTTTGATCATGTCTGAGGGGAGCCCGGAGATGTGGCTCGTCTTTTTTTTAAGATCTAAAACGTTGGACCCTTCGGGTTTAAGCACTTTGGAGTTTGGGCTTAGAGTATATTTTTATACGGAATATAGAATTCGATCTGCAACACTATAGTTCTTTTTGAGCCTCTTAATTTTGGGCCATAGACTAGCGGCCTGTATGCTTTGAAATGATCTTTGTCAATTTCATTAAAATTGATATACATTCAAATTTTAATAAAACAAGATGTGATTTGATTATATTTTGTTATTTCAATTGCACTATCAATAAAATTATGTAAAAAAAGGTAATTTAAACTTAAAAAAAAGTGAGTGAATTTATCATTGGACATATGGAGTAATTATATGTATTGCTTCCAATTATCACGATTTAGTACATAGAGTAATGATTCGATAGCTTACATTTGCGATTTTGCATCATGGAACAAATGCGATCGGTACCGGTGGGGAGGGGTTTCGAGATGGTTCCGATTTCCATCCACAGACCCAATATTGCACCCTCCCCTCTATTTTGGAACTCAACCCTTAACAACCTATTCATTTAAAAGTGTTTTGGATGCATATTATTTTTTACACATTTTAACATAAAATATTTTTTCTTATTTTTAAATTTTTAATTAAAATAAATATTCATCAAGGTCATTAGAAACTATTTATTTCCCTTTTATATAGGTCTATGATGGACCTTAGGTTCACCAAAGACTTTGCGGCCATTCATTTACTCCTTTGTATTATTACCTTCATTTTTTCATACTTGATGGGTCACGTGAGAATATAATTTTGAGACGAACACAATAAATTTCTTTGTCTAATTCATACAAAGACATCGATCATCTATATGCTCCACTAATTTTTTTTATACAATTAATAATGCCAACTTTTCACATGATCATACATACAAGTTGTGATTTGTGAATACAATGTGTCTTCATCGCCATATTTGTTACTTTGTGAGATAAAATATCTAATTATATTACCTCCATATTTGTTACATACGGTAAAAAAAGTTATACTACCTCCGTCCCGTTATCTTTGTCCAGTTTGAACTTTTGAAACTGTTCAGCTAAGCACTTTGACTCATCAAATTCTCTCAATGTGTAAGCCTAAAAATAGTCATGTGTGATCTTGTTTGATTCGTCTTAACATATAGATTATTAATATATAATTTTTATAATTTTTTAATATACAAATTACAAGATAAAATGGATTAAAGAAGTGCATTAGATGATGTGCCAAAAGGTAAATGGACAAAGACAGTGAGATTGGGAGGGAGGGAGTATATAAGAAAACACTACTAACTAACGAGTACGTTTATTAAAAGTCGGGCACTTTAGAAGGGATATGCTAGGGGTACATCAAAGGTGTACCCCAAATGTACACCACTTGCCTCTACACCATGCATTTTATTTTCTTTTTCTTTTTTATTTTTTTTGAAATTTTCTTGCCTTTTTTGTGTGGTGATGGAGAAGGTGGAGGATGTTTGGGGTACACTTTTGGTGTACCCCTAACATTTTTCCACTTTAGAATTATCCCAATAAGCAAAGGGATGGAATTTTGGGCACCCTAGCTAGCTAGCTAGCTAGCATGTAGCCTAAGTCAACTGGAATATTTCTCTCTTTTTGTCATCATACAAACTAGGTCTTCCATTTTCTTATTTGCCAGCTCACACAGGCAACCCCATATAACCTACTACCAAAGGAAGTTAAATCTCTTTTACTCCAAGTAAAAAAATACTACCTCCGTCTCACTCTCTTTGTCCACTTTTGACTATTGGAACTGTTCATCTAAGCACTTTGACTCATCAAATTCTCTCAATGTATAAGCCAAAATATAGTCATGTGTGATCTTGTTTGATTTGTTTTAACATATAGATTATTAATATATAATTTCTATAATTTTTTAATATACAAATTACGGAGTACAAGATAATATGGATTAAAGAAATGCATTTGATGGTGTGCTAAAAGATAAGTGGACAAAGAGAGTGGGACGGAGGGAATATTAAAGGCACTAGTGCACTACCCAAACTTTACCATCACTTTCTTTATCACACACACTACTTCTGAGTATAATTAAAATTTAAAATTTGTGGTAAAAAGAGTTGATCGTACACTAAAAAAAGTGTTACACTTTACCATTCTTATTGTTCAAAAATTATTTTTCTATTGCGTTATGTTTTACGATTTAATGTCTGATTAAAGTTATTTTAAATAACTTTATATATAAAATAATATGAAATTAAAAATAAAATTTTTATATTTAAAAACTACTTCTTATGTTCCATACAATTGTTCTCATTTTGATTTTTATAAAATTTAAAGGAGAAATATATTTTTGTGTTAACTTTTTAAAAATAATCTTGATGTTAATGATAGATTATTAGTAAAAAAGTATGATGCGACTCGTAGAGTAAGAATTAGTGTGGACAAAAGTGAGTTTTTAATACGAGTAGAAAAAAGAATGACTTTCCGAGACACACAAATAAAGAAAGAAAAAAACTTTTTGAAAAGAGTACATCAAAAAATCTAAAAAACTAGATGTAATATGACTGTGTTATTTTATGAAATGAGCTAAGAAAATAGGTCAAATAATTGAAATAAATAAAATTTAAATATATGAATAGTGAACTAGAAATAATTTTTAAAGGAAAAACATACTCCGTAATTACTAAGGCGAGCTCCTGAATAGTCTACCAAAAGAAAACGAAGAGAAGTAAAAATGGAAACTAAATAAAGAAGCGAAAAATAATCTCTCTTCGGTCAAAATTAACTTCTTGATGAAAAGAAATAGTGATAATGAGCAAAAGAAAATTTATTTGAATTTTCCCACCTACAGATATTGACTATAGTAGGAGTAATATATATTCATTGAGGGTAAAAAAAACTCCGTATACTTTTATTGAAAAAAATAAAGGTACTCCGTATATGCTAGAAAAGTAAGCACTTAATTTCGTACATTCAAATAAAGTGAAAAGAAAGTTTTTGATAGAGATATCTTTTCTTCTTTTTTTTTTAATTTTGAGAAAGATAGAGATATCATTTTTTTTTAAGGAAGATAGAGATATCATTGATTCATAATAAATCACACAAATATTTCTATTAAAAAATGACTAAACAAAGGCGGCCCAAAAAAACAGAAGACTGAGATCTGAAGACCCCAAGTACTCCCAATTAGGGTTATAAATGAATCGAATATTTTTTGTTCGATTCGTGATTCGTATTCGTTTAAGGTGATTTGTATTCGATTTTTTCAAATCCAAATACGAATACGAATCTGAATAAATATTCGAATCCTTATCGAATACGAATATGAATCAAGGCTATTCGATCCGTGAGTTTGACAAATATATTCGGAATATAAATCTAATTATACAAATTATATATATATATATATATATATATATATATATATATATATATATCAAATGGTTATAAAATATTTTAAAATCTAAATGAACTGAATATTTTTAAACGAACCGAATATATTTAAACGAATCGAATACTTAAACGAACCGAATATGTTTAGTATATTAAACGAACCGAATACGAATCTTAAAAAATATTCGAACCGAATTCGAATTCGAATATCACTCCATCTTAACGAATATGAATATTTTTCATGAATATTCGATTCGATTCGGTTCGTTTACAACCCTACTCCCAATTTAGATGATGGCACAATTTTTTGAAAAAAAGAATTGCATATTTTTAATCTTTACTAAAAAAGCATTTAATGAATCATGTTACATTGTTACTCGCTCATCCCAAGTCAAATTTATACTGAGTAATATTTGTTGTTAATTTTAGTGTTATCGACTATTTTATGTAATTGCATTTACTTAAAACAAATGAGAATTTTAAACAGCATTGTTAACGAATTCGGAGCTAGGGAGTGCACGCACAGTTTTTAAATATATAAATTTTACTCCCTTGATTTCTAAAATGAGTTCCTAAGTTGACTAATAGGTGAAATAATGGGGGTATATTTATAGTTAATTTTTAAATTTTGGTCTTGATATGATGAATATAAATAAGATGTGATAGGTTTTATTAGTGAAAAAAATATTATGTGATTGATAGGATAAGAAAAAAAAGTAGAGGTTAAATTTATTTTTTTAAAGAAATCGAAAGTGTTTTAAGGAAAATGAAAAAAAATAAAAGAGAAAGTGTTTTAAAAACGGATGAAATATTTTTTAATTTTATATGGAGCACTAATTCTCAACTAAATTGAATTAAAAATAATTTTAGTCGAACCTCATAAACAATAAACTATTTAATACTCTCTTTGTCTATTAGATTTTTTCCCACTTTCCTTTTTTGACTGTTCACCAATTTCATCCTCGTTTCTTGTTTTGACAAAAAAAAATGAATAAATGTATCATTATGCTCTTACTTTTCATCTATACTATTTACTTTGTTCTATTGCATCAAGCACAAACATAAAAAAATTTATTTTTTAACTTTTCTTAGTTTTTGTATTTTGTTGGACAATGAGTATTACAAAAAGGATAAGAAGCATATAACCACGAATTAGTCACATTTGCTTAGTAAAACTTAAAAGTAGGATCTAAGAAGAAACCGAAAGCTCAGTAACCACCCCCAGCTATCATCCATGATATGATTTTCCCAAGTCTTCTTGAAGTTTTTTCCCCCCCTCTCCTCCCATAATAGTTTAGCATTCTTCAACTCCTGATTTCTTGATCCAAGAACATTAACCGGGCCACCATCATCATGTTAAAGCTTTCTCCACGAAGAAACCAGAGAAGTAACGGCTTCAAGGTGAAGCACGCCCTCCAGATATGCGTCTTCGGGGGCGCTTGTGTTTGGCTGATGTATCAATTCCAGGACAAGAAACTTCCATTCTCGTACCATCATCAAGAAAAAGCCAGCAGCAGCAGTGTCCGCCGGAGCAAGGCCACGCCGGCGGCCGGGAATCAGAACGGCTTCTCCGCCATCAAGTTGGGGAGGAAGGATCTCGATCCTCTGGGAATCGAACAAATGACCGCCGAGGATCTAAAGAACGGCGGGCAGGATGCAGAGGAAGACAAGAGCTTTGATGACGAAACCAAGATTCTCGAGGAGATCAAGGTTGACGATGAGATCAATAATGGGAATGGAGATGAAGAGCCTGCGAGAAACCCAGAAATTCTTGACAAGAAACTGGGTTCGGGTTTGGGTTCGGGTTCAAGACAAGTAGAAATGAGCCAAGAAAACAAGAAGAAGATCACAAAAAAAGCAGCAGCTTTGGGAGGAAAGGGTAATGTTACAGTAGGAGCGGGTATTGAATCTAAAGCAGACAAAAATTCCACACAAAGAGAAAGTGTTGAATCTAAAGGGGAAAAGAATTCGACCCAAACAGAAAGTGATGAGCTGCAGAAACAAGAGCTGGAGAAAACATCTTCAAATTCTACATCTGGTGGGAAAAATGAAAACCCAGTCATGAATGAGCAGAGGTCAGATATGGGTGAGAGTTTGAAAGAGGAGATATCATCGTCGGGTGGCGTTGAATCTGCAGGTTCTGGAGAGAAAATTAACCCTTCAAACGACAATGATGATACGACTGATCCCTCAGGGGAAAACAGGGGAGGGGAGATTTCAACCTCCCAGAATGAATCTGGTTCAATGTCCACTTCAGTTCTTCAAGAAGAGACCGATGCTCGGACGGATTTGGAAACCATGCCACAGACAGAAACCAGTGGCAATGCTCTCCAAGCTACAGAGTAGCAGCAGCAGAGCAGATCCACCATTTCTTATCTTTCTTTCTTTTTATCTTCTCTTCTTTGATAGTGTTACTTGTCAATTGTCATTGCTGTTTTTTTTTTCTAGCTATAACAAAAGGACCTTTGAACAGTCACATCACGGATAACACTATCGTTGTTACACACAATGACTATATGCCCGTGATTGTATCAAACATGATTTCATCCCTCGAGTCATAGTCCGATAACAAAACAGGTAATGGAAAGCTACCTTGTTGTGTAGTCAAATTGGGTTGTGGCATTGGCATATGAGGAACCAAAAGGAATGACATTATAGTCCAAAAGAAAAATTTACTTTATTGTTACGATTAGAACAGTTTTATGATGAAAGAGCATTGGATGATGAGATTTTTGTAGTGCTTCTGATGATACAAGGCTTTAAAAATGGATTTTCCCAATGTAGCATAGTAGGAGTATAATGTTAGAAACCATCAGACGTTGGCAATTTAGTGGGAGCCAATCCAAAAAGATGCATTGTGTCATTGCAATTTATGAAACATATTGCACGTCTGTAATATAATATGAGTAATAATAACTACGCACACCGCGATGAATTCAAGCTAGTTCAGTGCTGTTCCATATATATTTATTTTCAATAAAATGTGAGTATGGCAGTAGATTCGATACAAAACAATTCACAATACAAAACATCTTGCTTTGGGTGCAAATGAAACGGACATGTGAAGCCACCGGACCAACCATTCATTTGTTGCAGAAGATTGGCGCATCATCAATGGTGCTTAGTCTCAAAAAGCCCGTCTGGACCTGTGTTTACATAAGTTTGTCAAGTCAAATAACCAATCAGTTTAGGATTATCACTAAAATGTAGCACCAAACCATAACATAGTCAGTGCCCATTCTTAGAAGTGTAAGCAAGATATCTGCTAATGCTTGGTAAAGTCATTATCAGTAAAAACAAAGAGAATAAATTCAGTGAAAAAGAGGGAGGTCGAGAGTAGAACTTACCCCATGGAAACTCCTTGTTGCGGATGTGCAAATATGGGTATGCCTGTAATCAAAACATGGGTTTAAATAGGAATGATTAGAACTCAACAGACAACAAAATGGATCTCCATGTGTTATGACTCTAAGGTATAGAAGAATATGTAGTAGGTTTCTAAAGAAACAAACACAAGGCGGCCTCTGGGCAATGCACTATAGCGCCTAAGTGCACTTTAGTGGGGCTTAGTCGGGGCCTAGTTAGGTTAAGCGAGGCAAAAATAAGAAAAAATCAGAGTGGTCAAGATGCTTACGCCAAGAACTTAGAGCAGTAATTAAGCATAATAGAAAATACACATCTAAACAAAATTATAAATACAAGAATTGAATTCCAGTAGCAATTATATGCAACTCTAGTGTTTGAAATGATCAAAGTAAATAAAAGAAAAAAACTGAATTCCTTGAATTGCAATGTATCAAAAATGAATTGATTTGTTTGTTTTTACAAACTTGGCCTAGTCAAAAAATGAAATATTTCATTTCACCAGTGAGCGGGTAATGAGGGTGCAGTGATGCCACAGAGTCAAGGGATGCTTAAGATCAGGCTAATTTGGTAAGTTCAATTACCTGCGCAAATCCATCACCAAATTAACCCTGTTTAGGTTGTATAAATTGTGTGGAATTAAATTCTTGGCTCAAATTATGTTCCAAAGCAAAGAAATGAATTCTAATTCCTTAAGGAACTCATTTCTTGCGGACTCCAAACACCATTATAGACACTGGGTTTCAATGTTATCAAGGAAATGTAACATTTGAAGACACTAAGAGACAGCTTAGTAGCTCACCGGAGGCTCTTCGTAGTGGGGGTGACCCTTGGAAAGAATAGCAATAGCAAGGACAGTGCACGCAGCTATTCCTGCATAAGTAATTTTCTCCCATTTGGATGCCTCCTCTGCTCACAAAAACTCTACCAAAGTTAACCATCTTTGATATAAATAAGAACTTTTAGTGTAAAAGATAAACAGTATGGTGTAAAACATACTCCAGCTCATTTGATTCTTTACAGTTACTATTAACTCGGTCAAACTATTTTATTTTTCTTTACACATTTTCATCTATCATTTCATAAATTAAGTCATGTAAAATAATAATTTTACAGCACATGAGTCAAACATCATAAAATTATATAAACCATCCTGTCCAGAATCAAATGGAGGTTATGGAGGGATGGAGTTCGTCAACTCAGATCGAGCATGCGGCATGCGGAGTAAGAAAAATATCCTAAATTTGCAAACAAATGCTGAAGAGAAAGCTAAATTGAAAATCTACACTGGAAAAGAAGAACGGATCGGGAAACATAATTGGTTCAGATGAAAAATCCAGATAGAATGTTACGGAGTACAAATCTAAAACAACAGAAATGAATCAAAATGATGAATTTGTATAGCAGAATATAAAAAATCGAAACTTACTAGCCTCGTCGTGATGGGCAGATGAGGCGAAATTTCGCTTGGAAGACGGAAGTCCACGTCCAGAACCACCGCGGAGGGCGGATCGGAAGCTGGATCTCATCATCGCCGACGCCATTTTCGGTCCTCTCCCTATCTCTTCTCTCCCACAGGTGGTGAACCAGTTTTTTGTTGTTGTAAAATGTAAATGGTCCGGATTACAATGGGTCTTATAATTTAGAAATGGGCCGAATGATTTTGCGGAACATTTGCTACAGCATATTATTACGTACGGAGCAGTATATCTACTAAATGGCCCAATAAAAAAACACCACTAATACTTTCTACTTAAAAATTCATTTTCAAAAATAGTTTCTCTTTTATTTCTATTTATCTTTCACTTTCTCTTAAAAATAATCTTTACTCCTACTAATTCTAACCTACATGTTACATCATATTTTTTAACTAATAATTTATTCATTACATCAAGGATAAAATTAGAATGTCAATTACAAATATAGATTCTTTATTTTTCCATTAATCAAAATAGAATTTTTTTTGGTGAATGGATGGAGTAGTAGAGATTCTGAAATGGTTTTTTAATATGTAAATTCTAAGTATTTTTTTTAATTTCACCCTAGTTCTTAAATAAATTATATAAAAAATAACTTCAGTTCAACATCATAAATCAAAACAAACAATTTAAATTATAACAGAACGAATAGATATGATGTGATTGGTAGGATAATAATTAGTAGGGGTAAATATGAGACTTCAATTGAAATTGGAAGTATTTTATGAGATGGGTGAAGAGTGGAAGTAGAATTGTTTTGTAAAACGGAGGGAGTATATTAGTATTAAAATGATTTCATTTGATTTATCTTGTTGAGAAATTTCAAATTTTTTTTATTTTATTAATATACAATATAAGTTGAGAGAAATGGATGATTAAAGTTCGTCCAGTTTGACTCAAAAAAGATAAACTGGACGAATATATTGAGAGGCAGGAGGTATATCATATGCAACAAGAGTCATTGTAAGTATTCTGCTTAGGCACTTGATTTGGCAATCAAATCTTGTCACTTGCTTTTCCAAAAAATGAGGTGACCACCAATCATGCTACATTACCTAGATGTGGAATGCCTATCAGTCATACATCCTACCGATTGAGCATCATAGTATCTCACAATATTGTTATGATCTCTATCTTCATAACATAATTCTTGCACTGTGATCTCTTGATGTTCTTTACAACTTGAACTACGACATCCCGATGACCCTCACACGATTTATCAATACATTGTGATATTCAAGATTTCAAGAATCAACCTCACACAGTTCCAGACCCACGTGATAAATTCATGCTTATATATTTTGTGGAAAACTGAGCTAACCTACAATTCCAAAGCATGATCCTCAACTTATACCATGAACCGCCCAAACCATAAAGTTTTAAGAGTGTAAGATAATAATGTTCACCAAATGGTCAGCTGTGCAGGTTCTGGATTTCATCAGTGACTTGTGATCTCTTCTGGTGTCTCACAATTCCCCTCCTCAACTTTATCAGACTCACCATTCTTGATAGTATCCTCTGTCCTACCTTTGAGAGGAGAAAGAATGAAGAAAGAGGCAAGGGACTATAATCTCAACATATAAAAAACTGAAACTGGCTATTGAAATGACTTTTTAGCAACACACCTCCATCATCATCAGCATCCTAAGCAAGGTCAGATGATGAGAGCCTTGTACAGACTTGTTGGTGCGGTGTTGGCTGTAATTAATCATATTTAAGTTAGAAAACGTTGGGCTTTTACAGTTAAACTATAATTAGACATTCAAGTGACTGAAAAGATTGATATTTGTTGTAAAAGCCCTTAATATATTAGCAGAGTTCAGCTAATCCAAGTCATTCAAAGGTGAGGGATTGGATAATAACAAATACTAAAAAACATACTTCCAGCTTCAGACGAAGTGCTTGCTTCTGATGACCCTTTGCTCTTCATGGCACCTTACTAGAAGAATAATCGACGACCGAAACATGATTAAATGTGCATAAATTCAAAAACCAGTTAATGTCAAACCATAGAACTAATTAAGATGTACCTTTCCTAATGCCCAATCAGTAGAGTCAAAGAATGCACGTTCGTGGTCCTATGAGCAGTTTGCAGGTGAGTTAAGGTTAGTGGAACTGATGAATCTCAAGCATTCCATAAAGATATTTAAGGCTATATGAATGAAATGATAATAACCACCTTTGATATCAGCCAAGGTTTTTTCGCTAGCAATCCTCCATACATTTTCATTACTACTTCACCATGCTTAAAATTTAAAATCATCATCATCATCATCAAACCCAGTAAAATCCCACAAAGAGTAGGGTTTTGGGAGGGTGTGTGTATGCAAAATTGCAAACCTTACCCTTACTTGAAAGTAGAGAGTTTCTTTCCAATAGACCCTCCTAATTAAAATCATTTAAAGCTATGAATGTAATGATAATCACTTTTGGTTGATCAATATAAATGGTTAATGATGGATGATTCAATAGAATTCAACCAACAACATTGAGTGACATGCAAATGGAATAATAAAGATCAGGCAAAAATGAGACCCAAGACTTTAACTCTATCAAATGTCTTCAAGGATCATCAAGAAGACTTCACCTCCTGCAAGGGCTTAGAGTTTTCCTTTACTCTGACGACTTTTAGATCATCCACAGATGAATTGGCTTCAACCTGAGCTTGCTGAGAGTTACCGATGGATTCAATTTCTTTTGTGTTCTCGGCATTGCTCGCGTTCAACATGTTGCGTATCCTATAAAG